TACAAGTGATAATCAAATAGCTTTTAGTGCACAAAATGATTTTTGAGCTTTTATTATTCATTACTAAAGATCAAAGTATTATTACATTTACATTTGAACTAAGAAATTTAGTCTTTGATCTTACTTCGAAATTTGGTTCTTAGGTTCTCGTCTTGATCTTTCATTGACGCTTGGCTCTTAAACTCTTTATCTCGATCTTTCTTTGACGTTTATCTTTTAAGATCTTTTGACGACGATCTATCAATATCATTGGATGCTTTAAAGACTATAATCACTTTAAATTCAATTTTTAGTAAACAATATTAACTTTTTTGTTATAATCAAAACTTTAAGATTATAATCAACCATAGGTCATTGACCAGCAAGAATCAAGAAAATCACACTAGTCTCACAGTTCTGAGTCGTGCAATCTGAATAATATGAAGTTTGTAACACTTCCCTACAAACTCTCTCTGAGGCATACACACCCACGATGTATTAGGCTATTAGAAAATGCATATATGAATAGATAAGTACATGCGAGTATACTTCAATTGCGAAATATTTGAGCCAGTATTACATTCGAGGTGCAAATATGGGACAGATACGTGTATGATATTACGAGCAACGTATTTTGACTAATCGATAATCACTATTTAAAATTTTTTTTTTCTTTTTACAGTCACTAAGATACAAAGATGATAAGCTCCTGAGTAACTTCCGAGCTAGCAAGAAATGACATCAATAACAAGTTAGCAACTCTTCGAATCTTTTCTCATACACTGAATAAATTCGGGAAGCATTTGTACATGCACGTGTTTTGCTTACCTCGTACTTCTTCAAGAGGTGAAAAAAATTGATTGTTCCATTGCCTTCTTCCTTCATGGTTACAACTATGTTAGAAGCTTGTGGTTAAAACATCAAAAGAAGCATTTTCAAGATCTCGTCTTCTCAATGGTGGTGATGATATCTGATTTAAGTATCCACCTTTATGATGATCAGAGCTACCTGTCTGAGAAGCTAGGTATTCAAGTGCTGTAACAATATCGGTGATGGCAGGGCGGAAACTTGCTTGTTCCTGAAGACACATTGCAGTAATTGCAACTGCATGATGTAGACTTCGGACAGAGAAGCGCCCCTCTAATAGCGGGTCTGCCATCTGGACAAACTTCTTCCGATCTTTAAGAAAAGGACGAGACTGCAAGAAAAAGAAAATATTCATGTTCAGAATCAAAGCCATAACACTTGAAGATAGAAACTCTGTAGAACCCATCGTTGATCAATTATGTGGTCATCCAATTTGAGTTATCTGGGATCAGTGAATGCTACCTCTCCTCTGCGGCTCCGCCATCAGGAGTGGTAAAACGCGCGTGTTTCATTAACCTAACTTCATTGTTATTGAGAAGAGAATTTAAAATCTCAAATGGTAAGGCTTCAAGCGGAAGACATTTCAATTATGTGATACTAGAACCTTTGTAGTTGGACAAAGAAGCGTAGCATAGAATAAAGATATAGTAACACATGTTGTGGGATATCCTACTTAAACTATGGCTCTTGGAATCAAGAATTGAGTAAGTTCTTGTAAGTCCTCCAAAACGATATCTCATATGTGAAGTTTTCTGTTAAAAAGTATATGAACTCACCCACACAATAAGATTCTGCTCTCCAGGCTTTTTGGTGCAGTCGATGGCCTTACGTCCAGTAATCAGTTCCAACAGAACCACGCCAAAGCTATAGATGTCTGATTTTAGAGTCAATTTGCCGCTCATGGCATATTCAGGTGCACAATATCCATAAGTTCCCATCACTCGTGTCGATACATGAGTGTTCTCACCAACGGGTCCTAGTTTGGCGAGTCCAAAATCTGACAGCCTGGCATTGAAGTCATTGTCCAACAATATGTTCGAAGATTTCAGATCACGATAAATGACTGGTGGATTTGCCTTGCAGTGAAGATATTCAAGGCCATGAGCTGCATCTACAGCAATCTTCAGCCTTGTGCTCCAAATCAATGGCTTCTGACCAGGCTCTAAATCTGAAATTGTGAGAGTTCTCATAACTAAAAGACGACTCATATTTAAAAAAAAAAAAATTATATAGAAATTACATTAGATGACTTTCTTGATTCGCAATTTGTGCTTTTCCTCTTTTGTAGGAATGTTTTTTCCTGAGTGAACCGAACTTTTCCAACAATTGACATATGGAATAGAAAAATGAGAATTCACACTCCAACAGGGGATGCATGAAGTAATAAGGGATTACCGAAAAGATGATACTCCAGGCTCCCCAGTGGCATATACTCGTACACCAAAAGTCTCTGGTCTCCGTGAGCACAATACCCGATCAAGTTAACAAGGTTGGGATGGTGCAGCAGACTTAACATTAAAACTTCTACGATAAATTCTTGATTCCCCTGAAGGCCTTCTAGATTAAGTTGTTTGACAGCAACAACCTATCATGAAAGTCAAACGACCAGCATTAACTGAAGAGTTGGCTAAATTACAAACTTCCCACCATTGAACTTCAATGATTCGATAATTCCTACAACACCATGATTCTTTTAATGTTTCTAATAAACAAACAGGGAAGTTTCATCATTTTGAAATAGAAAATCAAACTGTTTAGTAAAACAGAACTTGCCATATCGGAATCTAGGCAGCCCTTGTAAACGTTTCCAAAACCACCTTCCCCGATCAAATTAGATTCTCTAAAATTTTGGGTCGCCAACGCAAGTTCCTTGAATGTGAAGCTACAAGCCACATTGCTCTTTTGGCCATTATTATCTATGTCTCTTGCTCCAGCAGAACTTCCCTTTCCCCCACTCCCTACACATTGATTCAACAAAGATTCAAAATCCCACATTAAATTTCATCATAATATATCAAACTGTTCAGCTATTTATCATCTCATACTCTCGCTAAAATCTGCCTTTCCATTCACACCAACTGCAAATCCTAGCAATAATTGATCTAAACAAAACAAACATAAATATATATGAGAGAAATTAAGCACGTTGTAGAAAAACAATTAATCGAAAACTAATTCTGTACAAATAAATGAACTGAGAGAGAAGAAAAAGATGAACCTGAAGAACCAGTGGATTTCAGGGTCATATCTTCATCGTAATCCCTCGCATTCTTACGTCGAGGGGTCATACAAGAAAAGCAACTCATCTCCTTTTACCCTTTTCCTGGTCTCTTTAGATTATATTCCCCAACAAAATTGAACCCTCAAATTATACAAGAATTTACAGAGCGAAATCACCTCAATTATACAAATATAATCACATCATTATGCAATAATTCAAGCCAGCATTTCCAGAAATAAATAAATAAATAAATAAATAACAATAATTAGGAGAGAGAACAATTACATATTCCCTCCCCTAATGAAACAGACGAGGCCAGAAACCCAACCCCAGATGAACAAAGTCACCACATTCAAATATCTGTACGAAAACTCAGAACAAAATACAACCAAAGAATCTATGCACAATTTATAAAGCTATAAAATATTGTCTTCAGAAATGGAAATTCAATAAACAGAAGCTCCGAATTTCAGGTGGGTTTTTGCCATAAACCATTGAATAAATAACTATTTTTAGTTCTACATTTTCACACAGACTCCTATTTTAGCGGCACTTTTAACGGTAATTACTTGTACCCATTTCGCTTTCGTGGAATTCTTCTGCAATAACAAAAAATCAACTCTAGTCTTTTTTGTGTGTAGCGTGGTTGGTACCGTTGCAGCCTTCAGGTCGTTTGAATTTAAATCTTTTGGTAGATTACATCTTTGCCCTTGATATCTCAACTCGATTGGGCGTTTTCATACTTACAAAACTTCTTAAAAGATGATAGTACTCTTACAGCTTTTTAACATCATAAATAGATAAATAATTCGTCTCATTAATCAGAAGTTTAAATGTTAATAGTAAAAATTCTTTAGTTTCGACTTTCGACTAAAAAATTAGATACATCATCTATACATGCTATCTCCTACACTATCGACCTGCAGCCCTAAATCCCCCGAAATCCATTCTGCCAATACCAAGGAGGAGCTGCAGCCATCAATGAAAATCGATTCTCAGAGCTGTAAAGCCAAATCTGGTTGATGGGGCGAACCTATCTGTAAGCTAGAACTAGGCGAACCTCCCTGAACTCTTACATTCAGGTCGGGTGGAATCGGAAGGGTATGTCTTTGTTGCATTGACAACTCCTGCCAAGACGACTTGCCAGAGTTTCTGTCGCTGGGTTCTGCATTAGAATTGAAGACTTCACCTTTTGCCAATGAATATCCCGGTTGTAATGTATTCCAATTTTCGGGCAACTTGGCTTCCTCAAGAATAACATTATCTGAAACTGATGGCTGAGTCATTGACGGGTTGTTTCTGGATAGCATTTCAAGCGTTTGAGAGGGTCCTGGGTCCCCACCAGAAGGTCCAGACATGGACCCTCTTGAAGTCCCCATTGCAGATAAATCATATCCAAACATACCACTAAAACCATTTCTGTGACCTGGATCAATAGATTTCCACGGACCCTGGAACCGAGTTCTCAAAGAAGCTTCACCTGGTGCAGATGCCACATTCTGGCCGTCCAGTTTCTTAACAGATTCAACCATTTTTTCAGACGGCATGTATGCAACTGAAGAGTTTAAATCAGAATTTGACATCACCAGTCTACTTGAATGGCTATCACCAGTTGGGTTATTTGATAAATTCTGCTTCTTAGTTGAAAAAGTCAATGGCTGTGATGGTGATTCATATTGTCCCACCCAACCAGGACCAAATTTTACTCCGGCAGGTAACACAGACTCTATTTTCTTCGAAGCAACTTTCCAGGCTACAGGCTCGAGATTTGCAGCAAACCTAGCCAGGCTGCAAGCATAAGCGAGTGGCTCAAAGTGAAGACCAACCTGTAAGTTCAAAAGGTCAGTTGCAAACACCTCAGCAATCAAGGCAAAGAGTTCATTAGAGAAACAGCAACGCCTGGGGCAACACCAAAACGGAAGCAATAACCTTAGCACCGAAAGACAGACTATGATGCACGGACAATCATGCAGCCTACTAGGGCGACATGTCCGTGTCCAACACGAATCATGTCATGTCAGAAAGCGAGACTCCTCAAAAACTACATGACATGGATCCAATCAGCGATTCAGCCACATGCCATGTCCTATTTTTAATAATATTTTTTAAATTTGACACTCAAAAGATACTTCAGGAACATTCCTCAGGCAAATATTTGACATGGCATGTATTGTATCCTATATTAAAAAGTACGAAATAAAGTTATTTATATATAAAATTTTAATTTTAAGATTTTAAAAAATTGACGTGTCCCGTCATGTCCTTGTCCCACATTTTAGAAAAATCATGAGTCACCGTGTCCGTGTCCGTGTCCGCGTCCGCTTGTGTGATCGTGTCCGTGTCCATGTCCATGCAACCTAGACGACAGGTTATCAAAATACATACCGGCATCAACTGCTTCATATCACCAACAGAATTAGAGAAAACAGATAGCTCATTGCCAGAAGACTGGGGATGAAACTGCCTGTAGGTGTCACGTCTGTTCTCGTCGACCGTAAAATGCTTCTTCCCATATTTCATATCAGCCTTTAGAATGGATGCTGCAAAATAGAATAAAAAAGGATCAACTCCACTAGAAAAATCAGAAAACATGGAGCTCGGGTCACTAGAACAAGCTCTGCAAATACGAACCTGGAAATTCATCATTCCAATCAACCAACCACTCAGAATAATTTTCACCATGTCTTGGCCGGTTGGATGACACAAATGGATCGGTAGAACGAAATCTATAAAACATAGGCCCCTTTCTTAGATTGTAAGAATTAGACCCAGTTCCTTTATCTTCTCCACTAGCAAGAGTTGCACCTGAGGAAATTTCAGGACCAACATGATCTACAGGGGAAGTTTCAACGGACTTCTTCGGGTTCTTACTCGGGGGCCTCCCTCTCCGCACAATCTTGGGTTGTGGTTCACCGTCATCACCTTCATGTTTCAGATTTTCAAAGTCTCTCTTTGCAAGCTCACGTATGGCCCGTGCCTAATATAACACATTATTAGATGGAAAGCAGGACATAAAAAAAATTGAGCATAAGATGACTCACATACCTGGCGAAAGTAGATTGTATCTGGAGCATTATACTGCATTGCATTTGAACATATCAAAAACACATCGGCCTGGAAACACGATGGCAGCACAAGTCAGCATTCATTCTACGTCAATATTTCATGACATCATGATTGACAAAATAGACAGGAAGTCATAAATGGCAAGTGCTTCAAATGAAGCTCCGAGGGTACAATAGTGATCGAAATGCTACAAAAACAAGGAATTTGCCTTGAACAATCTGAATTTCATCCAGGATAGTTAATTGTAAGGGATTATTGAAGGATTATTCGTGCAAGCGTGCATTATTTAGACAACTACTATAATAATCTAAAGGAAGAACTTAATCACAAACTGAATTAAGATCAATACAATGTAAACAGCATGCTTCTCGTACACTAAATGCACATCACCATGAAGAAACCCTAGTACATGCAGTGGATATCTATCCTAATGAACACATTCATATTCTTGGCCTCTATTTTATTGGTGTACATATTATTCTAATTTCGATACATTGATAAGAGGTGATTGGTGAGCAAAGAAATTTCGGGATAAATGACAGATTGTAGCCACTAAGTCACTAACTATGGACAATGCTTTTCCTTCAACTTTTTTATCCTCACATAAGTAGCTAAAGTTCTAATTACATAGAACAAAAAAAAAAGTCATCAAACAGGCGATCATTATCAGCTATTACAGGCACATCCTCGTGCAAGTCAAAAACAATGAAAATAATCATCAGAGTAAACCACTCACCCCAACTAATTAAAGAAAAGCATAAGAGTCTCCATCTTCTTCAACCAAGAAAAATCGTTCAGATTTTTTTGTTATTCAACCAAACAGATTAGTGAGATTCCCATCAATTTGTAGGACAAAATGAAAATAATCAGAGGAAACCACTCACCCCAACTAATTAAAGAAAAGAATAAGAGTCTCCATCTTCTTCAACCAAGAAAAATCGTTACAATTTTTTTGTTATTCAACCAAACAGATTTGTGAGATTCCCATCAATTTGTAGGACAAAAGACAGACTCGAATAATAATAATGCAGATCACAGCATTCCCATCAAACAGGCGATCATTATCAGCTATTACAGGCACATCCTCGTGCAAGTCAAAAGCAATGAAAATAATCAGAGTAAACCACTCACCCCAACTAATTAAA